CTCATTTCAGAGGGACTGAAAATTCTAAAAAGTTATTAGGAGTATTCCCTATAATGTTCTAGTGCAAACTAGATATATGACTAAATAAATGCAAATAGCACTTTATAGTACTAAAATGAAAAGCTAAAAAAATCTGAAATCAACAAATTTATTTGATAATCCTAGATTTTAGTTCATGTGTTACTGAACAATGGCATGATAAATGCATTATTTAACTTAGGAATATTATGTCAGATCACACAGGGTCTGCCTTGAGCACTCAGAATTAAATCTCCAATGTATAACACTGTAATTCATAAAACTATTAAACACCGAGTCCATTTTAACCACATATGACACATTCTGAAAAGCATGCAAAATGGTGGGGGGGAAGAGCCTTTGAAACAAAAATTATATGATCTGCTTAGTAAAAATAGCTACACATAGTAAAATTAAAACTTGCAGTTCTGAAAGAAAATGTTTTGTGCTAACCATCTGGAAATGACAAAGTATTGCTATATTGCTGAAAGCAGAGAAACAGAAAACTTCTACTATTCCTATTTACCTGTCTTCCAGATAAAACATAAAGACAGAAATGAAACGAATTAGATGTGAGCAGCTGACACCTCAAATACAAGTGCATTATAAAATATTTCCATCCATCCTCTGCTCTATCCCTGAGCTGCTTTTTAAAACGTCCAGTACCATCAATATGCTCCCCTGACACATCCCACAGTAAAAACCATTTAGTTACTAAGATCCCACATGAGATTTCTCCATCATCTGCATTTGGATCTGCATTCAGTCACAGTGAGGTGACCATCGCTCCTCGCAGGATGCCTGCTTGCAGTCTTCTACTGCCTAAATGGCCAGAGGTGTCCAATGTCTCAAATTTTGTTAGTGCTTGTATTGCTACTGTGAAGCAGAGAGAAATAGATATAGAAACACTCCAGTGCTAAGAAGGGCACTTGCTTTCACAGCAGTGATCTTGGGCTCACATCACCTGAGGTAACGGGAGCACTTTAGGGCTGTAATTCGGAAGAGATTCAAGTATCGCCTGCTCCCAAGGCACATTAAGCATGTGTAAGAAGGTGCCGTAACGAAGCAAAATTGGAAACAAACAACAGTAGGCTGTTGTCGCCGTAAATTAGAACCCTTTAAGTTGGAGGGAAGTTGAGGCCGAAGCACTTATATATGGATTCATGGCTAAACGCCAGGCTGTACAGCACCGGCACCGCTGCTAGAACTGGGACACCAGGAGCGGCAGGAATTAGGTTACGAAGGCGACAGAAAACGGTGCCGTAGAAGAAAGCCCCTTTCCTGCACTTCCCTCCGGCTGGACGAGTCTCTCCGCTCCCCTGCCCCGGACCGAT